ACTGTACTCTTATATGCTATATAAATATTCTTAATAAACAGGAAAAAGAAAAGGAGAAGAATAAAAAAAGAGCACTTTATGAAACTAAGGGAAGTGGCTGAGAATCTTTTTGAGCCATAAATGTAAGCTTAGGAGGAAAAACATTACATTACATGGTTGGCAGCTTCCAACGTTCATATCAATTCCCTAGTCATTCTTCTAGGTGGTTAAGAAATAAGTAAAAATGCATGCATTGTATAAAATGTTCTTTCAGATTATATTTCTGAAAAGTAATGAGAGCTGAAATCTCCAAATAATGATAATGGGGGCTGTGGTACAATCAGAGGCAATGAATAGCTTTTAAGCACTGACTCTGTGTCAGGCTTTGTTCTAATTATTTTACATATATTTACATAATCCTCAAGCTTATGAGATATAATTAACATATAACATTATATTAGTTTCTGGTGTATAACATAATGATTCCATATTTGTAGATATTGTGACATAGTACCACAATAAGTCTAGTTAACATTCATCCCCATATATAGTTTCAAAATTTATTTTTCTTAGGATGAGAATTTTTAAGCTCTACACTCTTAGCAACTTTCAAACATATGATATAGTATTATTAACTATAGTCACCATGTTGTACATTACATTCCCATTATTTATTTTATAACTGCAAGTTTGTACATTTTGACTCTTTTTACCCATTTCACTCACCCACCCCCATCTCTGGCAACCACCAATCTGTTCCGTATATGTATGAGCTTGGGTTTTTTTTTTTTTTAATTCCATTTAAGTGAGATCTCATATAAGTGAGACCATATGGCATTTGTCTTTCTTTGACTTATTTCACTTAGCAAAATGCCCTCAAGTTCCATCCATATAGTCAAAAATGGTAAGATTTCATTCCTTTTTATGGTTGAATAATATTTCATGATATAGAAATATACCACATTTTCATTATCCATTTATCTGTTGATGAACATTTAGACTGTTTCCATATTTTAGCTATTGTAAATAATGCTATAATAAACATGAGGGTGTATATAATATCTTTTTGAATTAGTGTTTTCATTTTCTTCAGTGTATAGAGTATTACATCTAAAAAAAAGGAAAGTTAAATAAATGGAAATGCATACCATTTAATGGATTGGGAGATTCAACATTATTGAGATAATTATCTCTAAATGGGTCTACAGTTTCAATGAAATGTCAATGAAAATTCCAGCAGGTGTGTGTATGTGTGTAGATATAGACAAACTAATTCTATTATGTACATCGAGATGCAAAAAATCTAAAATAACTAAAATAATTTTTAAAAAGAACAAAGTTGGAGAACTTATCCTATTTTATTTTAAGACTTACTATACAGTACAATATAGTAATAGTATAAGTACAGTAGCTAAAATAATTTGGTATTGGTGAAAAGTTGAGACATGTAGATCAATGGAACAGAACAGAAAGTCCAAAAATGGAACAACACACACACACACACACACACACACACACACACACACACACGGGCAATTGATTTTTGCCAAAGGTGCCAGTGCAATTCAATGGGAAAAGAAGTCTTTTCAGCAAATAGTGCTGGAAATGTTTATGAAATAAAAAAAGATTAATATCGACCTTTATCTTACACCATACACAAATTTACTTAAGATGGATTAAACACTTTAAACATAAAATCTAAATCTATAGGACTCCTAGATTAAAAACAGAAGAAAATCTTTATGATGCTGGAATAGGAAAAAGTTTCTTAGAATACAAAAAGCATGAACCATAATTGATAATTTGTATTTCATCAAAATTTTTAAATTGTGTTCTTCAAGAGAAACTATTAATAAAACAAAAAAGGTGGACGTAGTTCCATAGTGTAGCAGTTAGCACATCTGCTCTGCATGCAGAAGGTCCTGGGTTCGTGCCCCAGTGGAGCCATGATCCATGGTCTATGGCCATGCCACCCTGAACAAGCCTAATGTCTGATCTCTGAAGCTAAGCAGGGTCAGGCTTGGTTAGTACTTGGATGGGAGACCACTTAGGAAGACCAGGTACTGCAGGCATAAATAATAATAAATAATAAAAAAATGCAAAAAATAAATAAAACAAAAAGGCAAGCTACAGCCTGGGAGAAAATGTTCACAGTATACATGTATAAGACAAATGACTTGTATCCAGGAAAAAAGTATATGTATATATATATATTCATTCTTACAATAAAAAAAGACAACCTAATAATCAAAGGGCAAAAGATCTGAACAGCCACTTCACAAAAGAAGATATATGAATGACCAATATGCACATGAAAAGATGCTCAACATCATTAGCCATTAGAGATATGCAAATTAAAACTAAAATAAGACACAACTATATACTCTTTTGAATAGCTAAAATTTTAAAAACTGACCCTAGCAAGTGTTAGTGAGGATGTGAAGCAACTAAAACTTTCATACACTGCTGGTACTAATGGGAAATGGTACAACCACTTTATAAATGAAAAAGGAAAAAATCCTCCAGATCCCACCAACTAGTTTTTCCATTTTCCTTTCTGCAAGTCTTTATTCAAACACAATTTGAAATAGTTGGAATTTCAAATGTAATTTTCTATCCTTTTCCCCTCCACTTAGCAGTACATTATAAGTACCCCTGATTTATACAACACAAATTTTTTGTACACTCAGTGTTACTATTGTCCAAGACTATATAGTCTAAAAAGTCCAGTATCAAGATAGCTTACATTCACTTTGCATAATGTGGCAGAGTCAACATGGAGGAAAAGGCAATTAACAAATTCTTTTGTTCAATGGTGATGATGAAATTTTCTCAGAGAAATGTATTAAGTTAACATGCATCTCTTGAAAGATATTACCTTCTGGACAGAGTCCCAGTGCTTCATAAGTAAGGAGTTCATTGACAGAAAAACAATCGTGAAGTTCTATTACATCAACATCATCTGGTGTCAGGCCAGATTTTTCATAGCACTTTCTGGCAGCTTCTTTACTTATATCGAAGCCAACCTAAAACCAAAACTATATATAAATAAAGGGCATCAAAACTGGGACTTTTATATAAAGATTATAAGAAATTAATATGTGTAACTTTAACAGCTGAGAACCGATCACACATATTAAAGTATCAGTTGATTCTATATGGTACCCAAAGTCCAAATAAAAGGATATCCAGGAAGGAGACTGTACATAGTAAATTCTGTACTATAAAGGACAGAATTTTAAATAAGATATATAAAAAGGACTTAACTTCTTCAGGCCATTTCTTAGGCTAAGTTACAAAATTCTATCAAACCACAATGTATAGTTATGATAAACAGACTGAAGAGATTTATCAACAGATCATTATGATTCAGATACACTAAAAAAATAACAGGGGAAATTTACATGAAAATAAACAATTTTCTTTTAGAATATCATATGAGATTCAAACATTGTTCCAAAATCCATGCTCTTAACAAACTCTTTGGTCATGCAACCTGAACTTCTCTACAAAGAATAAAATTGTGGCATAATGGAAACTGTACTGTTTATAAGCAGAAAATCTGAGCATAAGTTCCATCTCTACCATATCCTAGCACCCTAGCTTTGTGATCTTAGGCAAGTTATAGGGACAATTTCAAATCAAAGCATTACTGTAAAATCATTTTGTAAACTATAGTTTACCAAAGAATTGTTTATATATGTATATGTATACATGCATATATTGAATATATGTGTGTGTGTGTGTGTGTGTGTGTGTATATATCTTCAAATATTCAACTAACTCTAAGTCTGAATTCTCATCGTTTTTACTTCCTCTATTTTGTACTCAATCTTCAATCAGGATTTTGAAGCATCAAGAAAGTTCCCTGAAAACATCTTTATTTTTCCTTTACCTCTGTAAGATTGGAGTTCTGGGCATATCTCGCCAACTCAGAATAAATATAAATAGCACATCTAAGTTAGTTAAAAATTATCATATAATGATATATGGCTCTATCATGGGAAGCATAGATTTTCATCAATTATTTTCCCCTAACACATTCTTAAGAATGGGTTATAATATTAAATTTTCTAGACCATTTTTTCAAGTAAATTACATCCAGAGCCAATAACAACATGTTGTCACTTTGAGGTTTTTAAAACAGAAATCCCTTGATTAATTAACAAAACAGAATCTCAGACATACCAATTTAATAATGCTTTTTCCTTCAAATGAGCTTGGCAAATCAGTCGCCATCTCTTGTGCCAAAATTTCAACAGCTTTGGACTGAAGGTTATGCTTCTTTACAAATTCTTCACTAGCTAAAACTGCTGCTGCAGCACCATCTGAAGTGGGACTAAAAGGAAGTAAAAATAATTATTTACACCCAGTCCACCTCAATCCTAAGATTTCAGACTAGAAGTTCTTTCTGAGAAGAAAGGCTGAGTATGCTCGCTGGTCACTGGATGGTTTTCTTTGTGATATCTACAGTTAAAACTTACACATGCTTCCCACCTGAGGACTGAACCTCTATCAAGAACTTAAATGACGTCAGTCACTGCTTGATCTCTAAGAGTCGCTCCCAAAAAGTTTTTACTACAAAGAATCCTGGATTTGCTTCTGCAGATGCTGACTGCAAACCTGGTGACTTCTAAGAAGTACACAAGGTTATTCCCAGCTTAGCACAATAAAGGTTATTCCCAGCTTAGCACAATAAAGACTCTACTATAGGCCTAACTAGCTCCAACTCTGCTACCTCCCAAATAATTCAGTCTTGGAATACTTTTGAAAATGGGGAAAGGATGGAATAGGGGATTCCAGAAAGTCCATGGTTTGGTTAGGCTCTTGAGATCTCAAAATACTTCTTTTCCTTAGAGCAAGCTGTGAAGGAAATTGGCAAGCACAAGAAGCCTTCTGTGAGTTCAGCTGGACTTTATAAATGGGCAGATAAATACAACACATAAAAACTGACCCCACTTGTTTACTTGATTCCAGCCAGTATCTCCAAGGCACAGCCAGGTATTAACTAGGCACAGGAAGGAACTACGCAGTACTAACTCAGTGTTCTAGGAGATAGATATTGTCAAGCAATTTTCAAATTGCAACTATTATCACTATGAGGGCTATGGTTTTCTTCTTGTGTTATGTTTACTCTTAGGTACTATGATACAGTAAAGTTTCCTGCAGTAGAAGTATACAATTAAAAAAAACAAAATGCTGGAGGGAAAAATCTTTAGACTCTGCTGGACTCCTAAATCACATTTAAATGAATAAATACAATTAAAGTAGGTAGAAGTCATGAGAGACAGAAGTAAAATACATAATTTTCCAAGGGAAGAGACAGTCTGTCTCTAGGTGGGAGAAGGAAGTGAGGGTACTCACTCCTGAGTGAGGACCACACTGGTAGGAGTTTTACAGAAGCAAATATAGATACAGTAAAGATATACCCAGATACAAAGCCTAAGGTTTACCCAATGGCTGGGGGGGTGTGGGTGAGGGGGAGCAGTTACTTCTATTAAATATTAAAATGTGTTTTTCTTACCAACATTGTAAGAGAGTAAGAAAATCAAAAACTTTTTTAGATGTCATCACTTCATCTAAACTGTATTCCTCTTGGAACTGGGAATACCTAAATGCAAAACAAGTAGTTAAAGAATGTGAGGTACCAATTATAATTTTTGTTGAAGATGTTCTGTACAGAAGTTAAAGAAAGAATAATACGTAAGCATTCTTTTCACAACCAAAAGATACACTTTCATAAACAATTTCAACCTTTAATCAGTAAGTTATTTAAACTGAACTTTTAAAAAATTGTAACTTCAAAATATCATATGCTGTATAATAAAAAAAACTGTCTGGTCTTTGTCCTGGGTTCCAGTCACAGAGCTTCTAAAATCCCTGGAATTTCCTGAGTAACAAAAGTATCTTTGTTATGCTAATAAGGTGGCAGCTAGGGGTAGAAGATGAGGCAGGAGAAATGAATGTGGGTTAGATCATGAAAGGACAGTATATGGTGTTTACATTTTTTACTGAAAGCAATGAGGAACTAAAGGATATTAAGCTGGGAAGGGACATGATCAGATTTGTATCAAAGGAAAAAAACTGTGGTATGGGATGGTAAAAAGGTATTACCAAAAGCAAGTAAACCAACTAAGAAATTGGAGCAATAATTATGGCAAGAAATAATAATGACCTAAATTACAGAACTGGAAGTGAAAGATGGGAGGAGGGATAAATTCAAAAGATAGCATGGAGACGGAATCACTAGGATTCTGTTCATCTCCAAGTCATCAGCAACTCACATGGGACACTGAGGAAGAAGGCAGAGTTGAGGCTGGCTTCTAGGTTTCTGTCTTGAATAATTAGGTATATGTTACATCAATCATCAAGATGAAGACTGCTGAAGGGAAAACAGGATTGAGGAGAAATGATAAATTCTGTAAGAACATACTGACTCTGGGGCACCTACGGGACATCCAAATGAAGAAGACAAGAAGGAGAAAGTTACAGACACAGGTGGTATGTGTTATCTCTAATCCTATACTACTTATCACAGATTCTCCCAGCCTTTAATTATTCTTATAATTTACGAGGAAGCACTTAAGAATAGTTTCTTAATTCAATCTTCTTATAAACAAGTAACAAGGTATCTCTAATGACAGGTCAGCAAACACAGAATTCTCTTTCTTCACTACCCTAACAAAAACTAGTGCAAGAAGTTAGCACCTGAAATTTCTGATTCAAATCTAGAAGGATATTCTTGCCTGTTTCAGAGTTTTAAATGATAAAACTGACATCCAGAAATAACATCTGCCAATTCAACGTGATTGAGAACTTATAATATATAGTGGAAGATCCATGCAAGCAAGAAACTTATCTGTCTTGTTCATTGCTGCATCACTAGCAGCTAAAGCAATGTCCTGCACACAGTAGGCTACTGAATACATACTTGTTGAGTGAATGAAATTCCTTTTAGAAGAATGCTGTAATAAGTGATAAATAAGGGTCTTGTTAGACACCAAGTTAGATGAAGAGAAAGACTTGGAAGCTTTGATTTTCTGGGGAAAGTCGAGAGTTGTTCTTTGGAGCCTCAAAGCCAGGAAACTACACTGCCGTCAATTCCTCAGTAAGCTGGCACAATTCCCTACTGGTTTCAGGAAATCCCAAGGATTTTTAGTGCTTCTCCAAGTTCTAAGGACAAGGAAATCAGCTCTTATTGCCTTAAGACTGCTCGTCCTAACTCTACTTATTCAGTAGCAGCAAAGTTTCATTGAGTATATACTATGTTCCAATACCCTGCTAGATACTGAAGATACAAAGATGAAACATAATCTCTGTTCGAGGATCATCATTATCAGAGGAGAAAGGCTCATAAATAATTAAGTATGAAACAGTGTGATGTGTTATAATAGAGGTATAGAGAGTACAATGAAACTCATGAAAAAAAAAATAATTATGCCCAGGAATCTTTAAGAAGGTGTTAAGAGAAGCAATATTTGTGTTGGGACTTGATGGGTAAGGAGATGTTCACTTGGAATGGCAGAAGACTATTCCAGGGAGAGCTAACAGCATAAGTTAAAACAAAGAAACAAGTCCTATACAGTATATTTGGGAAAAACCAAGTAATCTGATGAGACTAGAGATTAGAAATATCCAGGAAAGCGGTAAGAAACAAGACCAAGAAAGGAGAATGGGGCTAAATTATAACAGGCTTATTATGTCATACGAAAAAATTTAAATTTTATCATATAAGAAATGAAAATTCACTAAAGCTTTCACAATACCCTTAGATCTTTCATAAAATACCCTTAGGTCTAGGGCATGGAATTAGATATTTGTTAATTAAGTATGCCTAAATTCAAACGTCAATTTAAAATTAGGAGAATGAGGAGAACTAGCAGGAGCATGGAGTACTAAGGAATCTGTGGTAGTGATCCACTTGTGGTAGAAAATGTTCTTTGTCATGGTTTTATGTTTATTAAATATGGAAAAATTTGTTTAATAATTCAGAAACAATTTACTGAGCACCTATTATATTCTAACCTCTGTGCTAAGCATTAAAGATAACAGATGGTTCTTCCATTCAAGGAGTTTATAATCTAAGAGGAGGAAAAATACAAACATTAGTTTGCCACTACTGAGAATAATCCTGAGTGTACTGCCTAATTTCTGTAAGCACCATTTTCCTTATCAAATGAGAATAAAAATATCTACCTTATAGAGTCCTTCAGAGGATTAAATGAATATGTACATAAAAGTACCTAGCACAGTGACAGAGTTGGCATTTAGTAAGGCTAGCTATTATTCTTTTAGTACCTGGTGGTATTGCTTTTGTACAGATTCTAGTAATATGGCACTAATTCAAGTCCCAGTGAACCAATTTTATTTAGCAACTATTAAGTACATGCTATGAGCCAGGTACTATGCTAGGTACTAAAATATTACTTCAGAATATTTTTTAGGATATAAATAACCATATTATTCTAACAGAGTAAGAGTTAATGACACTAACGTAATCGAAATGCATTACTAAAGTAATACAAATAATTTAATATAAATTAAAATAGCTACTAATATGCATTCCACAAACCTTTTAGTTGATCAAATGAATTAAGAAAAGTTTTAAAGAATAGCTTAAAGTGGTGACTAGTTATTTCCAATTAAAAGTATTACAATAGATTTTATTCACTGGAGTTGCAATCTTTGACCAATTACATCTTTTAATATCTGCCATTCACATTCTTTCTTAAAAGACTCATTAAGTTTAAATGGTTTTCTAAATATAAACAGACCAAAAACTAAAACTAAAAAGAAGTCAAAAGTTTACTTGGGCACAAGCCTTTTATAAGAAAAAAATAAACAAAACATTCTGGTTCATATCTTTGAGGTCTTGCATTAGCTTTTCAAGTAGTAAAGTTACATGTTATACAGCAAGATAATCCAAATTTTCGCAATTTCATATATCTGAAATACTTACGGGTTATTAACCGAATGTTTATGATTTTTCAATCCAATTTTTGCAAAGTGTTCAACTTTTGTTCCTACAGAGAAAGTAAATATCTATTAGTGAGTTAATGTTTTTCTGCTATTTATGAACAAATGGTACTCAGTGTCCCATATTTTCCTTTGCACAGATTAAAGACGTCAACATTAATTCCCTCAACAAGTATTTCTTTGTCATTAAACTTGGGTATATTTAATGAATTAAATCAACCAATAGGCACACAATATGAAAAGAGTTCAGACTGGCCTATTCTACCTAGTATAACTTGGGTCCAATTTCAAAAACTAGAAAATAAGGCAAGAAAGAACACTGCCAGCAATTACTTAGGAAGTCTGCCAAAATATCCCAATGCCCCAGGAATAAGTGAATTTTACAATTCACACTACCCTCCAGGGCCTGCTCTTCTCTTTCCTTTTGATAGCTCTTTTGATAGTTCCTAACAAGAATACAGATGCTTTTCAAATTCCTTAACAGAAAGTTTACAGAATAGTCTCAGGAAAACAAAAGCAATCACATTAATTAAGTAAATTTGTAAAAACAAAACAAAACAAAACACACACACACACAACCCATTTTCATTGTTTTCAAGAAGATAAAGGAGCAATAATTATGGCAAGAAATAATAATGACCTAAATTACAGAACTGGAAGTGAAAGATGGGAGGAGGGATAAATTCAAAAGATAGCATGGAGACGGAATCACTAGGATTCTGTTCATCTCCAAGTCATCAGCAACTCACATGGGACACTGAGGAAGAAGGCAGAGTTGAGGCTGGCTTCTAGGTTTCTGTCTTGAATAATTAGGTATATGTTACATCAATCATCAAGATGAAGACTGCTGAAGGGAAAACAGGATTGAGGAGAAATGATAAATTCTGTAAGAACATACTGACTCTGGGGCACCTACGGGACATCCAAATGAAGAAGACAAGAAGGAGAAAGTTACAGACACAGGTGGTATGTGTTATCTCTAATCCTATACTACTTATCACAGATTCTCCCAGCCTTTAATTATTCTTATAATTTACGAGGAAGCACTTAAGAATAGTTTCTTAATTCAATCTTCTTATAAACAAGTAACAAGGTATCTCTAATGACAGGTCAGCAAACACAGAATTCTCTTTCTTCACTACCCTAACAAAAACTAGTGCAAGAAGTTAGCACCTGAAATTTCTGATTCAAATCTAGAAGGATATTCTTGCCTGTTTCAGAGTTTTAAATGATAAAACTGACATCCAGAAATAACATCTGCCAATTCAACGTGATTGAGAACTTATAATATATAGTGGAAGATCCATGCAAGCAAGAAACTTATCTGTCTTGTTCATTGCTGCATCACTAGCAGCTAAAGCAATGTCCTGCACACAGTAGGCTACTGAATACATACTTGTTGAGTGAATGAAATTCCTTTTAGAAGAATGCTGTAATAAGTGATAAATAAGGGTCTTGTTAGACACCAAGTTAGATGAAGAGAAAGACTTGGAAGCTTTGATTTTCTGGGGAAAGTCGAGAGTTGTTCTTTGGAGCCTCAAAGCCAGGAAACTACACTGCCGTCAATTCCTCAGTAAGCTGGCACAATTCCCTACTGGTTTCAGGAAATCCCAAGGATTTTTAGTGCTTCTCCAAGTTCTAAGGACAAGGAAATCAGCTCTTATTGCCTTAAGACTGCTCGTCCTAACTCTACTTATTCAGTAGCAGCAAAGTTTCATTGAGTATATACTATGTTCCAATACCCTGCTAGATACTGAAGATACAAAGATGAAACATAATCTCTGTTCGAGGATCATCATTATCAGAGGAGAAAGGCTCATAAATAATTAAGTATGAAACAGTGTGATGTGTTATAATAGAGGTATAGAGAGTACAATGAAACTCATGAAAAAAAAAATAATTATGCCCAGGAATCTTTAAGAAGGTGTTAAGAGAAGCAATATTTGTGTTGGGACTTGATGGGTAAGGAGATGTTCACTTGGAATGGCAGAAGACTATTCCAGGGAGAGCTAACAGCATAAGTTAAAACAAAGAAACAAGTCCTATACAGTATATTTGGGAAAAACCAAGTAATCTGATGAGACTAGAGATTAGAAATATCCAGGAAAGCGGTAAGAAACAAGACCAAGAAAGGAGAATGGGGCTAAATTATAACAGGCTTATTATGTCATACGAAAAAATTTAAATTTTATCATATAAGAAATGAAAATTCACTAAAGCTTTCACAATACCCTTAGATCTTTCATAAAATACCCTTAGGTCTAGGGCATGGAATTAGATATTTGTTAATTAAGTATGCCTAAATTCAAACGTCAATTTAAAATTAGGAGAATGAGGAGAACTAGCAGGCGCATGGAGTACTAAGGAATCTGTGGTAGTGATCCACTTGTGGTAGAAAATGTTCCTTGTCATGGTTTTATGTTTATTAAATATGGAAAAATTTGTTTAATAATTCAGAAACAATTTACTGAGCACCTATTATATTCTAACCTCTGTGCTAAGCATTAAAGATAACAGATGGTTCTTCCATTCAAGGAGTTTATAATCTAAGAGGAGGAAAAATACAAACATTAGTTTGCCACTACTGAGAATAATCCTGAGTGTACTGCCTAATTTCTGTAAGCACCATTTTCCTTATCAAATGAGAATAAAAATATCTACCTTATAGGGTCCTTCAGAGGATTAAATGAATATGTACATAAAAGTACCTAGCACAGTGACAGAGTTGGCATTTAGTAAGGCTAGCTATTATTCTTTTAGTACCTGGTGGTATTGCTTTTGTACAGATTCTAGTAATATGGCACTAATTCAAGTCCCAGTGAACCAATTTTATTTAGCAACTATTAAGTACATGCTATGAGCCAGGTACTATGCTAGGTACTAAAATATTACTTCAGAATATTTTTTAGGATATAAATAACCATATTATTCTAACAGAGTAAGAGTTAATGACACTAACGTAATCAAAATGCATTACTAAAGTAATACAAATAATTTAATATAAATTAAAATAGCTACTAATATGCATTCCACAAACTTTTTAGTTGATCAAATGAATTAAGAAAAGTTTTAAAGAATAGCTTAAAGTGGTGACTAGTTATTTCCAATTAAAAGTATTACAATAGATTTTATTCACTGGAGTTGCAATCTTTGACCAATTACATCTTTTAATATCTGCCATTCACATTCTTTCTTAAAAGACTCATTAAGTTTAAATGGTTTTCTAAATATAAACAGACCAAAAACTAAAACTAAAAAGAAGTCAAAAGTTTACTTGGGCACAAGCCTTTTATAAGAAAAAAATAAACAAAACATTCTGGTTCATATCTTTGAGGTCTTGCATTAGCTTTTCAAGTAGTAAAGTTACATGTTATACAGCAAGATAATCCAAATTTTCGCAATTTCATATATCTGAAATACTTACGGGTTATTAACCGAATGTTTATGATTTTTCAATCCAATTTTTGCAAAGTGTTCAACTTTTGTTCCTACAGAGAAAGTAAATATCTATTAGTGAGTTAATGTTTTTCTGCTATTTATGAACAAATGGTACTCAGTGTCCCATATTTTCCTTTGCACAGATTAAAGACGTCAACATTAATTCCCTCAACAAGTATTTCTTTGTCATTAAACTTGGGTATATTTAATGAATTAAATCAACCAATAGGCACACAATATGAAAAGAGTTCAGACTGGCCTATTCTACCTAGTATAACTTGGGTCCAATTTCAAAAACTAGAAAATAAGGCAAGAAAGAACACTGCCAGCAATTACTTAGGAAGTCTGCCAAAATATCCCAATGCCCCAGGAATAAGTGAATTTTACAATTCACACTACCCTCCAGGGCCTGCTCTTCTCTTTCCTTTTGATAGCTCTTTTGATAGTTCCTAACAAGAATACAGATGCTTTTCAAATTCCTTAACAGAAAGTTTACAGAATAGTCTCAGGAAAACAAAAGCAATCACATTAATTAAGTAAATTTGTAAAAACAAAACAAAACAAAACACACACACACACAACCCATTTTCATTGTTTTCAAGAAGATAAAAGAGAATAAAATGGCTTTGAATTATCCTTTAAAGCTAGAAAGACCAAGGACTGGAAAGTCCACTGACTGGAGCTAATGTTATATTAAAAATGTCACAATACAGTAAAAAAAGGCACCATTTCCGTTTTATCTCTATCTTCTCTGCCAAGGAGAAGTGACATAACTATTATTTATTAAGAGCAGAGAAGACATAAATATAATTGACCCAATCTTATCTCACTTCTAATTTTAAAAAGGGAATAAGATGGATTCCATCTGATGCAAGACAAGGCAAATTCCCCAAGTAGTGGGGAACTCAAGCCCTGCACTGGGAGAGAAAAGGGTTCTTGGCTGAGCACAAGAAAGAATTCAAATGCCCGCCAAAATCAGAGTCAAAAGGAAAGTTTATTGGAGAAGGAGTAACACTCCACAGACAAAGCCTGGTCTCCTTTCAGAGGCAGAGAGTGAGAGAGCCTAAGGGAGACTCAGAGCGTCAGAGACAATTGAGATGGAGACAGTAAGAAAAACAGAGTAAAGAGACTGAGAGGGACCTCGAGTGTTCTGGGAATTCAGTTTATGTATTATTCTTTAGTTTCTGTGTGAATTTAAAGACTTTGTTTACTCATTTTCCTTTGATATGTGCATAGAGTGAGAAAGGATAAGAGCATGTAGCGTGAAAGGCCTGCTAGCAATTACCTTCGATCCATAGGGTTCCCATGATTTTAGCCATAGGGAATTAATGATTTTATTTTGTGTAGGCTGCCAGTTAAAGACTTTGTTTTCCTGTTTTACCTTCACGATGTGAGAAATGGTTTGTTCACAATCCCTGCAGAAATCTTCCTTTGTTCTGCAGGTTTCCTCCTGGTCTGGCTGTAGGGCTAATTGCATATTGCAGTCTCTAAATATAGCTTAATTTAACACATTAGTTCTCTTGCCTTCTTCCTCCATTACATCCACACTGGTGATTTCATACCAGTAAGAATGGTGATCAGGAGGCAGCCAATATGGGTTCACTAAGCACAAGCTACATCATATTAATATCTTTAATTGATCAGATTGACTGGGAGATAAAATGAAACATGGTAACTGGATATCAACAAGACAACTAAATTTTTCATGACATCTTTTGGAACAAGAAAAGGAAATACTGTAATGTGGGTTTTGTTGTTTTTTGCGGGGGGCGGTGTTACTAAAAGGTATAAGGATTCTTCTGTCATGTAAGTTGATATACTGGGTTAAACAAAATTGAACAGATTTCTTTATGGCAAGTTATTCAGAGCCTTTACTATTGCATATGTATTATGACTATCCAATAGGAGGTTAAAGTATGAAGCATATCCCATTATGGAGCATCTTATGAGCTTAATGTCCCACAGAACATACATTAGGAAACAATAGCATTGATTAATGCATTAACCTAGAGAAAAGTCTCTAGTGATAACTAACTAATCTCAGCCATGCTCTACTTTAGGAAATCAAAGGCACTCTCACCAAACCTGAAGCTGGGAGGGAATACTATAATGTTGGATCCAAATAGTCTTCAACAAAATTTATCGATAGGATGAATAAGAACATAACTAATTTAATGCCCAGTTCTATTCTTGGACCACTCAAGGCAACCTGGAAAAAGGAGCAGCAACTACGAGAAAGGTTCTGCAGTTCTGTTCCACACAAGCTCAGTGAGTTAACAGTGTAATGTGACTACCAGGAAAGCTCAAGTGCGATCACAGTACAGCAATCAGATTGCAGACAATGGGTCATGAAACAAGTCTAATGAGAAATAGTTAAAGAGGAGAAGAGAAATTAAGTGCAAGGTCAGGCTGGCTTCAGATATCTGAAGGGCTATAAGGTGAAAGACTCTTATTCTGTCAATCTTAGAAGACAGAAACAAGACTATGGGTATAAATTATAAGGATAGAGATTTGACTTTAACATGAAAAAAGAGCACTGTAACAACTAGAATCACCCCCAAAAAATGGAATGAGTAACCTCTGTCGATGCCAAGTTCCTTGTCACAGTACACAGTACAAATGCTTTATTGTCATTTATTAGAAGATTTATAAGCAATTCATGCATAGATTGCTAGGAAATCAAGAAGCAAAATTATATGAAAGCACTTGGCATAGAGCCTGCCATGAGATATTCAATAAGTGTTGATGTCTTTTCTTCTTTTTTTCTTACCATGGGATCCAATTAATCTACAGAAGATAACAATCCTTTGAAAAATATACTGCCAGTCACTTACCATATATTTATTACACCTGGCACTGATGAAGACCTTGTTGACTACTGATTCTGACCTGCCAATTCAGATTTTTGGCTATTTAAAAAGATATGCTGGTATAAAAAAGATTTCAATCTCCTTGAATCAAACTTTGAAGTGACAAAAATCTGCTGATTCTACAAAGCAATGTAAGGAACTATAAATATTCTTATGTACTCATTTCTAGTGCACATCCACAATTTCAAATGACAATTTAAAATTCTATAAAATTCTATAATTCATTAAAAAAATCTGTTGAATGAAGAATAACAGTTCAACTAAAATACTGTACATTTGTAGTCCAAATTTTAGATGAGAAACCATTCAACTATTCTGAGTAACGTAAAAGTTGAGAAAAGATATAAACGTAGAAACACACTGGACACAGGATTTCCAGGTAGTAGAGAACAATGGAGGCTGCCTAAACCTGTCTCTCCATAAGAACGAATAACACTGCACAGAACCATACCCTCAGCATAGCTAGAAAAGAGAAAATCCAAAATTCCAAATTATTTGTAAGTGGGGAAAAAAAAAAAGAATAGAGAAACAATTACCAAACTCTAACTAGCAATTGTTCACGCTCCCACAGCAAGCCTTTGGAGGAAAAAAGGTCAATCTGAAGAAAAGCTGCAGGCAAGAAAAGAGGGAACTAATGGCAGGCCCGCAATTGCTCTAAAACTAGACGAGAAAGAGAAAGACTCCCCACCAATTGTGAAAATATTGAAAAAAATATTCCTGTAGATCAAAGCTTGACTATAGGGAAGGGTTTGAAAAGTACAGGACATTTGGGCTGGTGATCTTTGAAAGGCAATGCTTCTGGGAGAAAAAAAAAAAGGCAAAAAGAAAGGGAAAGTCACCCTTTGGCAATTGAATGGTGAAAAAAAAAAATCGAAAGGAGAAAAATTTTAAGGTCCTGTAACACACACACAAAAAAATCAGAAGTCACATAATCCATCTTTCAAAAAATCTACTACAGAAACAGGAATTTACTACACAGACATAAGAGGACACCATAGACCTAGGAATCCCGAATCTAAAAACGACTTTCAAATCACAATTCAGTATAACTAGAAATTATTAATAAAATGAAAAATTAAGTTGACCTAGAAATTTAAATAATATTTCCATGAAACAACTCAAGTTAAAAAAGGAAATACAAATGGAAATTACAAAACTTCTGGAAAAATAACGATATTGAAAATACTACATATTAGAAACAATATGATATATTTAAAGCGGTAATCAAAACAATACACAGCACTAAACAGTTATCAAGAATAAAAGAATGATAAAATAAAATATTCATCAATTAAAAAAAGAACGCAGTCCTGATACACACTACTACATGAATGAACTGTGAAAACATTATGCTAAGTGAAAGAAGGCAGTCACAAATAGACAAACTCATAAAAGCAGAAACTAGATTAGTGGTTGCCAGGTGCCTGAGAGAAGAGGCTAATAGAGAGGATTTCTAATGGGTTTGATGTTTCCTTTCTGAGGTGGTGAAAATGTTCTGAAATTAGATAGTGATGATGGTTGCACAACTCTGAAAATATATTTAAAAATCACTAAAAGGATGAATTTCACGGTTTGTGAATTATATCGATAAATTTAAAAATTATTTTAAATACTTAAATATTTTAAAAAATAAATTCCCAACTCAAAAAGCTAGAAAAACAACTACAAAGTAAATCAAAAGAAAGCACAAGAAAAATAAAAGCACATATTAATGGGTAAAGAATAGAAATAATTAATCAATCAAAATCCTGTTTATTTGAAAATGTTAGTGAAATAAAGAAACTCCTACCTAATTTAATAAAGAAAAAAGGGAGAAAGCATAAAAGAACCAAAAATAAGAAATAACAAGAGGCAAATACTACTAAACAGAAACAAATTTTTAAGTTGTAAAAGACTACTTTTCAGATATATATACAAATAGATTTAAAAATCTAAACGAGATAGATAATTTCCTAGATAAATATAGACGGCCAAAATTGACCCTAATGGAGATAGAATGCTTAAACGTAGAGAAATAGATGATTACCAGGCAACTACTACCTTGCCCCCCAAAAGAAACAGGCCCAGATGGTTTCACAGGGAATTCTACCAAACCTACAAAGATCAAGTAGTCCCAACGCTCCATAAATTTAAAAGTGCATTAAAAGTGAAGAAAGCCTTCTTATTTCTTTTTATGAAAC